TTTCCTGTTGCCTTGAAAGTTCAACACAAAGGTGTTTTCAGAAGGAATATGTTAAATGAATTATCCTACGCTTGATGGTATGTCAGCAGTTAGCATGTCAGCGGGGCTGGATTAGATGATCTCTGGAGGCCACCTTCCAACCTTAATTGTCATATGATTCTACGATTGCTTGAGATTTTATTTTTTTCTGATTTGTTTTGTGACTGAGTGGTAACGACCAGTTCGTACTGATGGAAAACCTGTATCCTCTTTTCTAGATCAAGTTGCGTGTGTTTTAGCATGCCATACTTCTTCAACAAAACAAACTGTAGTCACTTGGAAGCGGAAGATGTTCCCAGCAATACAAGGAACCAGCTGTCCGTGATGACAGAGAAACACTGGTGTAGCGTGGTGAGCCAGACTTCACTTCTTTCCTGTTTACCTTTAATTATTAGATCAGTAGCACATCCCTGGAGGAGAACAGGGTTCCTGTAGCGTTGCAAATGAGCATTTTTACACCCAAAATCAGCATGCTGACCTGTGGTATAATGCAGTGTGAGCTTATTAATGAAAAATGGTAAACCATTTTCAGCCATAGGACAAACCGTGCAAGAGCAGGCATTTAGAACACCACAGAGCTGCTGCCACGAAAGAAAGTGTCCCAATTCATTCCTGAACATTTGAGATCAATGACTTCATATCAACACTTACCCTTGTGTCTCTTTCTTCCTTTTTTTTTTCTTCTACTATAGGAATCTTCCATATTCTGTCATGTTTCTACCTGCCTACCCTTCACTTGTAAAACAGCTACCGGTTATTTAAAAACCAAACATCTCTGTCCCATAAGCCAGGTCATGCATAGGGAGCAAACTTAGTAGAATAGAAACAAATACCATAATGCCAGTTTTTGTAACCAGAGTTGCACTTTATGTGCAGACCAAACCATAGGTTTCAGAAAAGCTGAAATAAATCTGTTGTTTAATGTCAATATTAACAAGCAGCAAATCCCTGATTTTCATAGCTTCCATTCAGCAGTAGGTACTGATTTGGATGAAAGATGCCTGGAGCACACATGTGGAAGGCAGAAATATATAATGCTTTGCTGTTTTGTCTGCTTCTCAAGAATGTATTATCCTACCCAAACAATAGTGCTTGAGAAGCTGCATTCTGAATTTCAAATGGAACCAGCCAAACTCTGTTCTGGCATCTTGTATTTATTATCTGACAAAAGCATAAATCAGGATTAACTGAGTACAGAAATGAGAGTCTAAAAATATTTTTCATGAATTAGTTGGCTCTCTTCTTAAAGTCTGAATTTACAAGCTAAACAACATAGAATGCTTTTCAGTTTAACTTTCATGCCACTGTCATTTTCATTGAATACCAACTAAAAATTCAATATAAATTTTGGATGTTCAGTTACTATTTCAACTTTCCTGTTTTATGGATGTGCTTGTAAACATGGAATTTTGTTTATTTTTTTAGGCATTTCTGCAATCATTTTACAAATAACCTTCTGCCATCTTGCGCACGGTAATAGAGAAACCCTATTCTTTCTTTTTCCCTTTCTTTGTAAAGGAATTTTGAAACAGTTCTTTTATTATATGCAGCAAAGGCTCATAAGAATCATCATATTTTTAATGTAAAATACTCTCAAAGCTTTTTTTTTTGGTTCCACTCCTGCTTTATGTAACGACTGTTTATCTGTCTTTTCCAGGTCTAGTCTAAATAGGCTGAAGTATCTTTCTTGGACTCAGTGGGCATCATGCTGTCTGCAGCTCTACAAGAGAACATCAAAAGGCTCAGCCTCCGTCTGATACTACGATGGCTTGGAAACAGCACCCTGGCAGCTCTTGTCATCTTCATGCTAGATATTTCACAGAAACTAAGCAGCTCATGGAGTTTCAGTAAGGAAGAGCAGGAACTTATGGTATGTTCTGTTAAAGCACAATAGATGCATAGATTTCTGAATATTTCAATATTCTATTTCAATAGCTAATATCTCTTTCATTACACAATGTACAATTCACAATGTACTCCGTCGCTTCACTATCTTAATCTAATCCCTTGTAGGGCAGTAACTGTGCTAGACCAGTTATTAAGTGGAATCATCTGTAGATACGTAACAGACACTGAAATATACTTTTCTGAGGGAGGTTTTTAATCTGATACTAAACAGTAACCTATTTAAAAATTCAAAGTTACATACTGTTGTAGCTTTTAATTGGGAGTGCTAAACGTGCCAGATTATCTGCTGGATGCCCATTAAATCTGCTACTTGATTGTTCCCTGGGTTTGTTTCTGTGTGTTCTTAAAACTACAGCTCGGCCTGCACGCCTCAAGATAGAACAAGGTTACACAGAGCCAGGGAAATGGAGATTAGCACCACCCTGTGTTTCTGTCTCTTACTGTGCCTTCCAAATTGTCTGTTCCCAGCTTAGACTCATTTATGTACTATTTTCCACGCTGTATTTCCTTTTAATCCAAGTGCTTTTGTAGTCAGTACTGGCCAGATGTAACATAAGGCTCTGCTTGTTTTAACTGGGTGGGGAGCAAGGAGAAGAGAGACACAGACAAAAAAAAAAAAAGAATAAAAACAACCACACTTTGATGATCAGATTAGACTGAAAGGTATTTATTTAGAAACAACAGCTTTGGTATTTTAAAACCAAACAACCTTTAAATCACTAGAAAGTGGGATGTCTCCCCCCACAGCCAAAACAAATCGATGCACAAAGTCTCAATATGCTTAGAATAGGAAACCTGCAGATCAGAATTTCCAAGTGTAAATCCAGAAAACAATTTCATTAAATTGGTTTTGCACTCTACAATCATAAAGGTTGAAAAACCTGTTACCAGCACTTAGATATCTACAGTTCAATTGACTGAATTGTTACTGCAGTGGAGGCAAAATTATTAACATCCTCTCCTTTCTCCCCAAGCAATAAATTAAAAAAATGTATACCGGAAGGAAGTTCACTAAAATTTTCTAGTTAAATTAACTCTCTGAAGGGAATCATCATTCTTTATTTTCTTGTAAAATTAACAAACAAATCAAAATATCAAAGGACTTAATATATCTTCAAGTATTTTCACCAAATGGATTACTCTTAGGGAACTGAACAGCTTACAAGGAAAAAGAAACATCTGTTACACAAGCTTCTGGGATAAACTCTTGTATAACCACACCTTCCAAGTCTCAGATTCTTCTCTTGACAAGGCACAAAAGGATTGTTGCTTTCAAAAGGTCCTTGTTCTCAGCTGCAAAATTGTCAGGTGTCATGTGCAAATGGAGGCTGAAAGCAGGACTAAGTTCACTTGGACACTGGGATGCTCCCATTCAATTAATGAAACAGGATGTTATTACACCACCATTAATCTTGCTTGCTGCTACAGAGATTTTTGAGCTTCAGCCGGCTTCCACTCCGTCCCTGTTTCTGGAATCAAGGTCTGCATCATCTTCATTTTAAGCAGGTCCAGTCACGACGAGGCACAGGCTTATTTGCTGTGCACTGCAGGCTTTTTGCAGGTTCAGGAAGGAAGAGGTGTTCCATCAGCCCTGCCGTGTAGCTGTGAAGCTTCTCAGCATTGCAGAGCGTAGTGCCAGGGACAGTTACCTGCACTAATGGTTAACAAGTCATTTGTAAAAGGCAGAGGGCAAGTCTTGTAGGTGACAAAGGCAACCAGACAGCAGTGAAAAAAGGACATACTTTTATAATTTCAAGGACACATTTCAGGATGCGTGTCAGGGTGCAGCTGTACATACAATAATTGAAATTACCTCCTGACCGCTTCCCCCTTTTGCACGAAGGTTTTGATCATGATCGTAGGCTTGATATACATGCCTACTGGGCTTCTTCCTAGGTTAGTTTGTCTAGCCACAAGCACCTTCCACTCTCATTCTTTCAATGGATGACAGGTGTTTAGACCTGCTTGGGATCACGCCTGATCTCCAGTGCTCAACATTACAAAGCCAGTGAGTTCAGAGGAAAATTGCCAAGCCAGTTTAACCACCCCTTACATACTGACTGGAACTTTTTCTCCAACAGCTATATTTAACTATGTCCTTTGTTATTTTTATCTTTTTTTAAACACAAGCTACATTTACCTCTGTTCAACCCTAAGGAGGGATGTCTCTGAACACTACGGCTAGTTCACACAGCAAATCCAGTCTTGTCTTTCATTTCCACTCCGTATCAAAACACAACCAGAAAGTACCAGTACTAAGAGCAGAAATCACTGTCTATTTTGTCTCTTCTAGTTTTCACTAGCAACTAAGTTTTCTAAGGCAACTCCAAACAAGAATTTCAAATTCTTTACAGCAAAGTGAGACGCAGTAGAGCTTGAAGCCAGAACCTCCAACTCGCAGTAAAAAGCACTCTGTGCTTTTCTTAACACAGCTGTGTATTTTGTCTGAATGGGAGAAACACTAACTCAGCACCTTCCCAAAATGATGGTGGTAAATGTGGTTTGATGGAGGACTGCACAGTGTCTATAAATCTATGAACATTTACCAGTAGTCCCAACAAGTCAGCACCTTCACCTAAGAACACTAGCTTGCATGTGTGTGTTCTTGTATGACATGTCACACATTCAAACCAGGCAGACAAGTGGGCAGGTCTCCCACACAGTAGTAAAGACAAGGATAGCAGCTCCCTCACAAGCATTCCGGTACTTCATAACAAGAAACATCATCTCGAGACACAGCTGCAACTGTTGGCTTAAAAACAAGCGATGTCCTACACCAATGTGTGGGAAAAGCACAGAAAAGCTGCGTCTGCCTCGATCTGCAGCCTTACAAGTATTTAAGGACAGACACAATGGATTTATCTTTTCTAATGTTTGTGAGCCCGACCGCTCCAATCCCTGCCCTAATCCTACATCTTGCAAGAAGAGGTCACAGATCACTTGTTGCAAGAGAGACTGAAGATTTTCTCAGTCCAAGACAGAACCTCCCTAGGCACAGCTGACAGAAAATCAGGTTGACAACACTCGGTGGACAGCAGCCGAAAGCAGCAGCCTTATACCTTACTCCTGAAGAGCGGCTTGGCTCCTGGCCCACAATATTCGTTGTAGATGAGTTTGAACAGAAACAAGTGAAACAATGTGATTAAGGAGGCCACGCTGAACCAGAACAGGAAGGGTAAGCCTGGGTATTGCTTGGCCATGTGTTCCTCATGAGCCAGAATAGCTTTTAGATGGAGCGTGTGTCTCAGGTCCTGCAAGTGGATCAAATCTGTTGATATATAAAGCAGTGGTGTGATGGGTTGAGTCACCATGACAGGGAACGTGTGACCTCGTGCCTCTGAGGTCAGCTCCACAGGCTCATTCATACAGCCTGCCTCACACGCATATAGTCTAACTGGCTTGTCTTGGAATTTCACAGACACGTGCAAGAAGGGCTTTCCTTCAGCATCCAGCAGAACAGCTAGATTAATCAAGTCCTTATTGTAATGGATCCCACGTAAGGAATAGCTGTTATGAAGTACGTCGGGGTCAGCCTGAAACTGAAGATGGTTTTCTGTGAACTGCAGACCCCCAAAACTAAGCACCATTCCCTGCATAAGTCCATGGACTCCAGCTGCCACAAGACCCTTGCACCCCCGTTTCTGGAGAGTTAGCTTCCACAGGTCTGAGAGCTGCAAGATCTGGGCGACGCTGGTCAGCTTTGCTGGCCACAGGTTCTCTGCGTGCATGGTCGCGTGGCCACTGAAGCAGTGGTCAGCATAGTTCAAGCTGGCTTCCATTTTTTCTCTGTCTTCACCACTAATGAGCGGGTCAAGCAGAGGAGCTGGCATGGTTGACAGCATGTAGTAGAGGGTCATGTTAACAGTCTCACTGGATGGTGTATGCGAATCTGTGATCTTTCTCATTTCAACCCCTGTAATAAAAGAAAACAACCAAAAGTCAGAGGATCACACAAGAATATGACATTAACTAGGAGAAAAAGAAAATCAAACGTGCATGTCGTTGTTCAATACACATGTGTTCTTTAATAACATCTAAGAATCTTTTGTCTGTGAAACATTGAGGTGAAATGCTTCCTTGTATTTTCTTAAGACACTTTCCCTGCTACTTGAAGTTTCAAAGCCAAGCTCTCACTAATGGCAAAGCTAGTTTGCCACACAGATGCCTTCTGGAGCTGTCACCAAGACTCCGTGAGAATGATCTGTCAAAGGAACATGCAGCTGTTTACTGGATATAAAACAGCAAGTTCTGTGTTACTTGGGCAGCTACTCCTTTATGCAAGGCCATTAAAATCGTAAGAAAAAGCATCCTTGCAGGTCAGTCCTTAAGTTCCATAAAGAAATCTGTCCTTTATACTGTCACTAGAGCTATTTCCAACTTAGAAATGACATGCTGGGCAAATCAGTGAAGTTCCCAGAGACATGAAAGCCAGCACATCCAGAGTTATGATCAGAAATGTTCTTCTGTCATTTCCGTTAAGCAGTAAGGAATACTCTACTTTTGCAAAGTACACTGGGTTCCACACCAGGAACGCTATTTTATTATCCCACAACATGCCTTCTGGTCCCTGCTAGAAACCTGTCAGGAAGAACAGAGCCTCTGGAGACCTCACAGCAACCAGGTCACTGAGCTTTGTCAGCTGCCCTCCAAAGCAAGCCTTTGGAAGTTGAGCGTTGCTTTCCTTACCTGAAATGAACAGGTCAGACCAGATCTGTTGGTGCTCCTGGAAAAGATCTTCCACCCCCATCTGCATCACCTCCAGCATCTCTTTCTTGGCTGACTCCCTCAGCTTGCTGAAGGTCTCCTCCAGCCTGGAGACCTCGATGGGCTCTGAAGTGTACACCACAGAGAGCACGGTCTCATCAAAGTGGGATTTGGGTGCCACCTGCACCCGGCTCACGAGCTTCTTGGCAGCCACCACCATAAGCACCACTTTGGCGCTCCCGGCCAGCAGCAGGC